GTCATCATTACTTTACTCCTTGCATTACAAGCATCAAATTGTTCCTTGCAGCTATATCATGAACATAACTACGAAATGGCCACAATGTGCTTTGAAAGAGCTGGTGATACGTATTGGGAAAGAAGGTCAAAAGCAGCCGGCCTTAAAGCTATGGCTGACCGTATGCGAACTTCAAATCCTGAAGAGGCCAATTCCATTCTTAGGGAAGCTGCTGAAATATTTGATGCTATAGGCAAGGCAGATTCTGCTGCCAGGTGTTTCTTTGATTTGGGCGAATATGAAAGAGCAGGTATAACTATTTAACATCTCAAGTACTAGATTTTAATTCACCATCATTTAATACCTTGCATAATGCTATGAAGCCTGTGGAATTTTGGTTGTAATAAATTTCTTCTCATTTTTTAACTTGTACTGGTGCAGCTTGGATTTATTTGGATAAATGTGGCGTGTCTGAGCTGGAAAGAGCTGCGGAATGTTTTTCTCTAGCTGGATGCTATAAAAATGCTGCAGATGTGTATGCTAAGGGCAATTTTTTCTCCGAGTGTCTCACTGTTTGTGCCAAAGGAAAACTGTTTGAAATGGGTTTGCAATACATCAATTATTGGAAACAGCATGCAACAGAGGACTGTGTTGTGGCTAGACGAGGTGAAGGAATAGATAAAATTGAACAAGAATTTCTGGAGAGCTGCGCATTTCACTATTATGAGTTGAAAGATAACAGATCCATGATGAAATTTGTTAAAGCTTTTGATTCTATAATTTTGATGCGGAACTTTTTGAAGAAGTTAGATATCCTTGATGAGCTTCTTTTGTTGGAAGCAGAATTTGGAAACTATCTTGAAGCCGCCGACATCGCAAAGCTGAAAGGTGATATTCTACTCGAAGCTGATTTTCTTGAAAAGGCAGGCAAGTCCAGAGAAGCGTCATTACATATTCTATTCTATGTGCTTGCCAACTCTCTTTGGTCATATGGCAGAAAGGGCTGGCCCATACAACAGTTTTCACAAAAGGTGGAGCTTTTATTAAAAGCCAAGTCATTTGCTAAGAATGTAACGGAAAGCTTTTATGAGCTTGTTTGCAATGAGGTTGACATTTTGTTAAATGAGCAGAGTAACTTGGCTTTGATAAAAAATCATATGAATGTTTGTCAGAGGCATAAGAGTATTAGAGGTGAATTATTATCTGCTCGAAAAATATTGGATGCTCATATTTCTTCAAGCGCTAATAAGTATGTGTGGGACAAGAAGCTGGTTGATGGTGATCTGATAAAGTGCTCGGAAGACAGAATATCTGAAAATCAGGTATCTATAGATTCACTGATTTACTTCTGGAATTTTTGGAAGGATAAAGTTGCTTTAATTTTTGAATATCTCGGATGCCTTGAAACCCAAGATGTTAATGAATACAAAAGCGACGGGGAGTTTTGTTTTGATTACTTAGGAGTGTGGAGGTTGTATCATAATCGTAGTCCAGTCTATGTTTTACTCATATCTGGTGCTGATTGGGTTCGAGGTGTGGACAGAAGATATTTTAGAAGTCATGGAAAGTTGGTCTCCGTTGATGTTCACCAGCTTGTCTCAGCTGCTTGTAATTATTGGAGTTCAGAAATGCTTTCTGTTGGCATGAAAGTTTTGGACAAGCTTGAAATTCTTTACAAGTTTCCAATGAAGAATGCTGATCCAGTGTTCTGCCAAAGCAGGTGCCTTACCCATATTTGTGAGGTCTCTCTATATCTTTTGCAATCAAAATGTTTGAAGCTAAGGTATCAGGATACGGAGAGATTGCAGAGATGTGTAAAGTTTTCAACTGAGAGTGTTGTTATGCACATATTTCCTATGGATTGGAGGAGTTCATTGAGGGAGAGTATGATTTCTCTTAGAAGAACGGATGCTCTAAAGAATGCGCTGGAACAAGTAATAGTTGAGTATACCAGCTCGGAGAGGGAGCTGTCTTTTGGGAAAATTGGAAGGCTTGTAATGGTTATTCTCGGGTCCGGTAAGCTGAGTAGTGAACTATATAAAAAGCTTGTGGAAAAACTGGACTGCCACCCGCCATGGAAGGCATTCATTGAGAATCTCTGTGAGAATATTGGCCCTGGAAACACCAGTCAAGAACGGAGAGAGGTTTCTGTAATGTTGAAGTTCTGTGGAGCTTTGGTTGATACTTATAATGCGAACTGGAGGGTTGTTAATGATTACATATCACCTGGTTGCTTTTTGTACCTTGTCGAGCGCCTTCTGTTTTGGGCAACTCGCTTTAAGGGTAATGCTATCACTACTAGTTCTTGCTTTATTGAGTGGCTTATATACCAAGAGGAAGATACCAATGTAAGTTCCATAGTTGCTGATGTGCCATCTTCTTTGGATGGCATCCTTCATTTTGTAATTCATGTGGTTCAGGGGTGTGTTTTTAATAAGGGGGATATGGTTGAATGGATTAAAAAGACCCATCCAAATTGGAAAAACTACTATTCACTGCTCATGTTGAGATTTGTTGTTGTGTTATGCTTGGTTTATGTGAATTTTGGCATGGGTGAAGGTATACTCTATGAGTTGCTGGGGAGGGAATGTATCACTGAGCAGCTGCCATGGGAGTTTTATGACACCCTTAAGAGGAGGAGAAGACACCAATCTCCTAGTATAGATGTGAATGTGCTAGCTGCAGCTTTTCAGAAGATTGGTAATACTTTGGTAATTGCAAATTTTGGGTCCAATTGTGCAAGGTTCGTATGTCCAGATGCCATATTTTTTGACATGAAAGCCAACCATTCCAGGGATGACATACTGAGGAAATTGTTTCCTAAACCATTTGTACTACACACTTCCCAAGCTAGGTCTGTTGAAGCAGGAGGCAATAATTCTGGCAGTCGTGTGCTTCATGCAACCAATTATGAGGGGAAGAGTTCTAAGATCCTGCCATCGAACTCTGCTGTGGTGGAACCATTACAGACTGATGCTGCATCTAATAAGCCGAGTGATGCCGGGGACGGGGCCAGTCACACTACAGTTGAGGAAAGCTGCATAACCAAAGAGTCAAATCCAAAGTCTAAGCAAGCTGATGTTGCGGCTTCTGGATCCCAATCTGGCAGTAAGGAAACTGGAAACAAGTGGAAGAAAAAGGGCAAGAACAAGAAGTCCAAGAAGAAAGGAGGCAAAAAGTAGCCATCACATGTTAATATATATTATATATATGCTATGTGAATCTTGTTATGTTGGAACTCGATGGTTCTTTTGATATATATATATATATATATATATATATATATGTCAGACAAATTATCTTTGATGAGTATTACTTTTTATATTTCATTACATGTTAGTGATTTGCTGGATGCATCGGCTTAGAGATAAGCTTGTACAATTTAAGAAGTTGAATGATTAAAACGTAAGATTTTGATTTGAACAACTTGTATAACTAGGACCTTTGTTTCTGAGAGAGAATTGAACGACATCTCTCAACTGTTATTTTCAACTTTCAACCAAGTCTCAAAAATCAAAACAAGAAAATAACAAAAAAGAGTTTGACACAGGCAGAGAGAGCCTCAAAACTCAATTCTCATCGTTCCCAAATAGCTTGACTCGCGACAATGGCGTCCTCAAGTAGCCATCCACCTCGAACTTCTTCGGCGAAAGCTGGCGGTACTTCTCAAACTGCTCTCGCGCCTCTGCATTCCTGTCAAGCAAACTGTAAATCATGCCGCGGCAAAAGTAGGGCCTGAAGTCTTTGGGGTCCTCCTTTGCCAATTCGTTATAGCTATTCAAAGCGTCCTCCACATTCTTCTGAAGGAACTGAATTTGTGCCATTATCAATTTAACGTCGCGAGCCTCCTTTGCTTTGTTCTCCTCCTCCGCAATCTGCAAGGCGTCCTCCAATCGCTTCATCACCGCCTCGCCCTCGCCGCTGCGGTCCATCAGCAGGGCGTTCTCGAACAACGCCTCGAAGGACAAAGGATCCGCCGCGAGTATTTCCTCGAACACTTGGCGGGCGCTTTCGTTTTCGCCCATTTCGGCGAGCACCCTAGCCATCATGAATTTCCACTCGGTCGCCGAGGGCTGCGCCGAGGCCAAGCGCTGCAGGATCTTTAGCGCTTCACCGTCCTCGCCGTTTTCGAGCTTCTGCTGCAGAAGCGATTTCAAGGCTTCGATGGCTTCCGAATTGGAGCCTAGGAAGTCAGACAAGGGCGATGAGGATTGATTCTCGTCATCCGAGACCTGGGTTGGGGCTTGTTCGGTCAATGTAAGCGGAGGTTCGGCTCTGGCGAGCAAAGTTGAGGACTTGGTGAACATGGTGGCAGCGACGCCAATGAGAATTGCAGCTTTGGCATAATGTTTGAGATTTTGGAGAATCGGGTTTGAGTTGTGGCCGCCGTTGCTTGGGAGGAGGGTGTTGTGGTTGGTTGAGGAAGCTGTGATTTTGAGGGCAGGGGCATGGTGGGAATTGTGGGAATGTGGTGGGGCAAAACGGAGAAGAGAAGGTTGAGTTGGTTTAGAGGGGGTGAGTTTGAAATGAAAGAGAGACGAGGACGATGAGGAGGAGGCTAGAGTGGAGGAGGAGTTCATGGTTAAGCGGCCGACGAGTTCTTGAGAGTTTGGAGTTTATGGGAAGGTAGGTAGCTGGGGAGGAGTAGGAGAGTGTGACTTTTGAGAGAGAGACAGAGAGAAAGTTTTACTCCGAGGGAACTCACAGTAGAACCGTTGGTTTGGTTGTTGGTATGTTTGGACTTCAAACCGAATATGATTTACATTTTATTTTTTTATTATAGATTTTCTTTTAATTTTGATAAAAATGAAAGTGGGTGGGTGTGGATTTATTGAAGAAGGAAATTTTTTGGTAATTACCGAGAGTGATGAGGAATTGTGTAGATTTATTTAAAATAAATTATAACTACTTATCTACCCTTAATATGTTTGTTTCTCTTTCCATGTAATAAGGGTAAAATTGATAAAATAGGGACGTAAGAGGTATTTTCTGAAACAGGAAGTTGACGAAGCCATCTTCTCTTAAATAATAACCTGCCTGTAGTGTAGGCCGTAGGCTAGTCAATTACTAAAACAGAACCGGAACAAGAAGAATTGGGCATTTTGTACAAAGTTAGTCTGAAGGGGCGGCCCAGATGCCATATGAAACCCAATCATGTGGGCCCAGCCCCCAACTTGCATAATTGCTTACTTTACCTCGCGCTTCTCTTCTCTTGCATTTCTCACTCTCCCACCAAAACGAATCAAAAGATTACCATTCCTCTGGTCGTTGCTGATTTTTTATTTCCAGCAGCCAATTGTTGAATGAACAAATTGGCATGCAGATCTGCTCTTCTGTAGATTCCTCATGTTTTCCTAGAGTTTCAACATAAATATAAAAAAATATTATCTTTGAGTCACAATGCTACTTTTTTCTTAAAAATTCCGACTCAGACCAATATACATATTTACAACAAAATAAAGAACAAACGTTACATGGCTGTGAACTCAATATACTTCATGGTGGGCAGTGAAGAATTGATAAGAGGCCATATTATACTCCCAACCTCTTAACGCCACATTCTGAGCAGAACTTAGAGGTTTCTCTCAAGTATGGAACCCCACATTCGTCGCAAAACTTGGCAGGACTGGATGGCTGAAATAAAACTTGGTTAGTAAGGAATAAATAAAGACATTTTTTTATGTGGTCGTGAAAATATGCTTCAGACGTTAAAATCATTCTACTTTGTTTCCCATTGCAGTTGACATAATCCATCACTTAATAGAGACTTTACAAAAGACACAGCACAAAGCAAAGGGAGCGTTTAAGAATAGCAAAAACATCAAAAGACGAACGTGAATTTGAGACATAGCATGCAAAATAGAACTCACCAATACATGCATGCGCCCCCCTACATGGCCTCCTGTGAGGGGTTGTAAGCAAACCATGTGTTGCGATATAGTCGGTGAATGGTGAGCATGAGCAATTTCGGGCAGGTGCGAGGCAGCACCACATTGATGGTTTTGAGAATAATGAACAGCATGTGGACTTTGGTTGATGGATTGGTGATGAGTCTGGTGAACAGGCTGAAACTGAGGTTGGTGCAACAAGGGTTGCATATGATGCTTACACGGAGTCGTCTGCTGATTTTGTGGCTGCCAAAAGGAAAAAGATAAATCTCCATTTTTACATAGACAATGTTTTGTATATCCAGAAAAACAGAGGCATAGGGACTCACAATAGCATACTAATCAAAATAAAAGCCATATTGAGCACCATTAAGTTTTAAATAGATTTCTACAAAAGATAAAAGATTTATTCTCGAATATGTGGTGAAAGTGAGTGTGCTACACCATTTGGTCCTAAACCAGATATGTCTAGCTGTCATCAACCAATAAGGTGTCAACAGAGACTTATATGAGTTTATTAGTAGCTTCACAATCCCCGCCATTGGAAACTCCATCCACTTAATAGGCATTTTATTTTGCCTTTAATGTGTCAAGTTTACTGTTGGAAATTGCAAACAGCAAAATAATTGAATTATAAAAGAACCATGGCAGTGATACAACTAATCCAAAAACTTGATGTTTTTGTTTGCCAGAAAAATTTGAAGATCAATCTCACAGCAGCATGCAGCTACATGCCCTGCAACCATCTAAGGCTGATAACAATATAAAACATCTCAGGCCAACAACAATCTTGATATAGGCTGATGCTCATCTCAATATATTGACAATCCATTCAAACATAAAACGTTGTTGCAATAATCATTAAGCATAGAATTAACTCTTACTTCACTTACGGAGCGGAATCCCTGAGCAGCAGCCAAAATGGAAGAATTATCAGTGCCAGGAAATGTCTGAAAAGGATATATTAAGAGGATGATTTGATACCTCCGCATTCAATTTAGTTAGTAAAGTAAAATATTGTGACATTATTATAGGTACCACCAAATATAAATTTCCATATCATGCAGTTTTAATTTTGGATTTACTCAAACATGACCATGAGGAGAAAGAAAAACAAAAGGAGATTTCTATAATCTATGACCTATCTATGTCCCACAGTTTCAGAATGTTCTGTAATGACCCCCATTCTTCATGGTTAACCTAAATTCTTTGCCATAGTTAATGAGATGAAAATGAGCTCCAAGTATTACAAAATAAGTGAATTCAAGCTTACTGGTAAACCAGCAATATTAGGTGAAGAGTTTGTTGCAACACGTCTATACTTGTGTCTTGGAGAATAGAACTTAAAGTCTCGAGCATAGACTGCTACTTCATTCCGACCAGTCAATCGTTTGAACCTGCAGCAAAAGAGAATGAAATAAAAAGGAAAAGGAAAGATTTAGGCACATTGCAAACTTCAAACCAAATCTGAGTTGTATCAGTACTTCATGCAGACAGGTCTCGACTAAGACAAAAAATAAATAAAAGAATGATACTTCAGCACAAACTATCATATGGAAGGGAAAAATACTACTATTCTTCCCAGTTTAAAATAAATATCTTGACTCACGACTTGCATTCTCAGAAATTTCTATGTGTTATTGAATATTATATATATATATATATATATATCCCCCATGGGTCCTACAAGGATAGTCTTCACTTGGGGCTTTTCCAAATTCATCCTCGTAATCCTTGTAAAAGGTTGTTTTGAAAAGCATAAGCAGCAGCTGTTTATCATCAACTTAGTTGCTTAGCTTTTGATAAGCACATATATAGAGGTAGTAACAGGGGGTTCAGAATCTCAAGCTTAAGAGATGTTAGAAGTCATGAAACTATATAACAGTGGCCATCGTTCGTACTCCAGCTATAGCTCAGCACAGCCTTGTGCCAAGTTTCCATGTACTCATTGACCAAAGAGGCTGTCTTGCCCAAAGGAAAACATTGATCAAGTCTTAAGAAATGGAAATTTGTGCAAAAGATGAGCCAAAAATTGGAATATTTTAACAGATAATCACACCCCAAAAAAGAAGATTGCAAATTGATTGATAAACTTACCACTCTGCATCATCAGTAGGCATGTTATTAGGATTTTCAACAATATCCAAACCATTTACTACAACAAAACGAACTCGCTTCTCGTCTTGTATGACCAACTCTGGAAATCTTGTCCTTGTTTCGATAGATGTGGCCAACTCTCTTCTTTTAAATGTACACGGTCCTTTCAGAAAGATATAGGCAAATCAGATATTATCACAAAGAACGGCAAGAGTTATTTAGGAACCGCTTATTATTTAGATGCTATTACGAGTAAAATTGATTCACAAATCAGCATAGATCTTATATGCAGAGAAATTGAATACCTTTTTTTGGAAATTTCTTAGCCAGGCATCTGTACAACCCACCCGAAGCTTCAAGGGCAACCCCAATTGTCTTCTCACGAAATCCACTCAAGGAATCAAGCCTAATATTTGCTTCATTAACCAAAGTTTGGTACATATTTGCGACATACATCAGGGGCAAAGCCAGTCTAGGGTCCCCTTCATATCGGACCTCCCCGGGCTTTCTCTTATTGAGTTTGTCTTGGCCAGACTGAGCACTATCATAGTCAGCAGCAGCCTCAGAATTAGGCACTTCAACGACATGTTCACTAATAAAATGATCCACAATAAGTTGCAGAAATCGTGCCCTTGCTGATTCAATAGGTGACACATCTGACTCCAAAGCCAAAAGGGTTCGGTTCAAATTTCAAACTTTCCAACACAAATACACAAAATTCGAAGGAAGCAAGTTAAAGTTGGTACCTTGAAGTGATAAGAGATCGTAGGGAGCCCTGGAACTGGAAGAGCCGCCATGGTTTTCAAGGCGCGAGCGGTCTTCTTCAACTCCTACGCGGACGCTGTGGATGGGTAAAGAGTTGGTGTAGGATTCATGTATACAGTCATTAACAACGGCACTGGAACCGTCGTCGTTGTCGAGGCTATGCTCAGTGACGGCGTCGCGGTCGACGTCGCTGATGGAGTCGATTTCGGCGGAGGGGCGAGCATCGACGGTGTTGAGGTCGTGAAGAGGGTTTCCAATGTAGGAATTAGGCGATCTCATGTTGTAGTGCTGCACTGGAACCCTACTCCCCATTTCTTCCAAATTTATTTTAACTGAAAGCCCTTCGAATTCATCTCATTCGTCGTCTTCTTCCCCTTTTTAATTGCAAACTGCAAATCCCAAAGAAGAGAGATTGTGTGTTTAGAGGAAGAAGACATTGTTGAATTTCTGAAGTTGTTGTTTTAGTCAGTCTAGTAAATCAGTAATTGGTGTGTTCTGGGTTTGGAGCATAATAGTGAACTTTAACGGCTATACAGACTGAGAGGGAGAGAGAGAGAGAGAGAGAGAGAGAGAGGTAGTGTACGAGGCTTGTGAGAATCCAAGGCTGAAACCGTACCTCAGCTTTCGGATGCCAAAAGCGCTTCCAAGCCTCCCACCGATCTGCCGCACCAGCTCCCAACCCAAGCCAGGTAGACGCCACTTTTCTTGTATGCTTATACTTGCGGAGGTGTAGCCTGTAGGGATATAAATTGGGCGCGCCCTCACATTTTCTGCCATGAGCCTTTTCCTCTTTTGTACATTTTGCGCTTTTTTATTTTTAAGACAAAATTACTTTTTTTCTTAGGACTTTTTCTATGAGTTTTTCTATTTAAACTCCTCACTTTTCTACCCAAATACTTCAATTATTAAGCTATTAAGTTTTATTATTGTATAAAAAGATAAAAAAGGTCATCCAACTTAATACTTAACCCTCGTATATCTATCTATACACACACCACCACTCAAATTCCTCTACAACCTATTACCATATTACTCTTCTTTTTCAATCCAAGAAACCTACTACACTCTCATCTTCTCTTCACAAACTCTAAACACTATATGCAAATAGTGGCTTGTGGGGCATCAATTGAGATATGTAATGTAAAATTATTTCTTGGGTCATCAATTAAGCTCTTAAATTTTATTTTTGTTTGTTATCAATACATCGTTTCTCTTCCAATAAAAAAAAACTGAAGAACATATTGCATATGACATCATCATTGACTAATATTATATTGTTTGATCATAATATGTTTTTATGCATATCAAAATATATATATATATATATTATATAGTTGACAGCCGTGTATCTCTTTAAGTAATGTGAAGTTGAGGTGAACTTAGAGTGATGAGGGGTGTGGGGTGTAGGGTGTGAGGTTGATGAGTTTTTTATTTTTATTTTGTCTGCTGAGTATGTATTCAGGGATAGTTTGGGAAGATAGTGGAGTTTTCTTTGAAATTGTGAAAATTTGAATTATAAGTTGGGATGAACTTAGAATATGGGGTGAACAAAGAGAAGTGCAAGGTTTAAATAAAAAAAACTCTTTTCTATTGAGAAGGGTGATAGTATACTGAACTCACACATACTAAAATACTTAAAAGAGAAGGAAATTGGTATTAGCTGTAATTCGATCAATTGTAAATTGAATCATTTTAGTATCTTGATTTGTTACAAGTTGAAAAACAAAAAATAATAATAATTCTCTCCTCCCTCTGCCAGTTGGGCCATTCATTCGTATATCAGTTCATGCAATCCATGAATTGCAGAGCTCAATAACTGTTCACAGAATCACAAACAATATTCAAAGAGGAGACATTAATCTGGAAGATTAAAATGAGAAAGGAAAATGATAAAAGTAAAGGCCACATTAATCTGCCTGGGCCCTGATTTAAAAGGCCGGATTTGATACATTTATGTCTAAGAAATTAGACGAGGATGTAGAAATCCACTAGGGAGGGGATATAATCTTCGTAATACAATTCATCCTCTAATAATGTCACCGCCAACACTATCTCACTGCTAACACCAGCGGTGTCATTGTTGTCTCCACCATCACACTTCTCATGCAACTATCATGGTTGCCACAGCCGGCCACAACCACGACGTGAGAGCTGATCATCTTTGCCGCCACGCAGCACCGACATTGTTGTTGCCACCACCATTGCTGTCATCACCGCTGCCTCTCGTCCCTACCATTTTTAATTAAGAGTAATCAAACAAATCATAGAATAGAATTCATCCTCAATCCAGTTCAATCATGTATTATTTGGGCCGGAAGATAGTTTATCCCATCCAAAATAATGAAACCCAATTTGATCGGCTTCATCTGACCCGCCAAAATGAAATTAAAGGCTTTGCTTCGGATACACAATCGATACAAATTTAGTTTTGCTTTTCAAAATGTATAACTTAACTTTCCTTCATCTTTCTTTTCCCCAAAGTGGAATAGCAAGTGTATTAATATGCTAGGCAAGTGGCAGATAAGTAGCCTTATGTATTTGGCATATATCTATTTTATGATGTCCTGGCCTGACATAGCCAGTGAAAGACATCTTCCAGAGTACAATATTAACAACAGACTAAAGTACTATAAAAAGTAGAGGACATATAATCACATCAGTTAGTCAATGAGAAGCAAATTGCAAAGAAAAATAGCTACTCGAGGACGTTGCCACATCTAGGCATGAATACCACGATTGGAATATCAAAATAATAAGATGTAGAGTGAAATTTGCACCTTGCCAGTATTGCTCGCCAAAAGCATCATCCAGTTCAACTGAGTCCGGTCAATCCTTTCCTTGTTATGCATCTTTTTTTCTAGCAAAGCTGGCTAACCGGACAATACCTTCCAATCCAGGAATTCCAGCTGCCACATGTTTTACTACAGTCAGTTCAGGATACCGCAGCTGGAAGAATTCAAGAAGGAAATTTAAAAAGGAAATTATGAATTCCAGAAGTAGTTTTATCTCATCATTCAAAAGTAATGCAAGCTTCTTCTTTTTTTAATGAAGGCATCACCTGAAAGAAGTAAAAAAAACCCCTTACCCATTAAAGGCGCTGTACGTAGGAGATTTTCCCTCATTAGACCACAGAGAATCTTTAATATGCCTCAACAGGTAGTTGTCATATTTCATCAAGAGGAATCAAACACGCATTTTGCAACAAATCATCCTGTCCATCCAGAACTCAGTTCAAATGGTCACTGGGTTCATATGCTTCCAATTAGTAGAAGTAAAGCCATTCTATGTTTCCAACTGAGATATTTCAAGACACGCCAACCAACCTAAGATGGATAAGCAATTACCCCCCCTCTCAAGTTCTTGCATTAGGAACCGCATAATCACAAGTTCCAGTTATTAAACCCTTGTTAACCATTTCAGTCTGCAACTCAAAGGCTTCATCCAAATACCCTAGCTCATAGTACTTTCTTAGCAGACAAATACAAAGAATCTCATCTGGAAGGATACCCTTCCCAATCATCTCATCAAGCAAAATTTTTGCTTGGTGTACCTGACCAAAGTGAGAAAGACCCGAAATCAAGGAAGTATACGCATACAGATCAAGTTCCATACCCATTTCTCTCATTCTCTTTTCCACGCTCAAAGCTTCTAGAAGATTTCCATGCTTCAAATTTCCATCAATTAGAGTGGTGTAAGCAGCTTTATCTGGAATCATACCCTTGTCTAGCATTTCATTAAACAGCTCCTTAGCTGCTTCAATGCAATTATTTTTACAGTGACCATCAATTAAGGCTGTAAAGACTGCAACATTGGGTTCCAAACCAATGTCAGGCATCCTCCTAAAGTAATTAATTGCCTCTTGGAGCAATCCCTTTTTGCACAAACCATCAATTAATGCACAATATGTTACAACAGTGAACTCAATACCATTGTCCAGCATTTCTTGTAATAGATTAAGTGCCTCCTTGGTTTTTCCGGCCTTGAAATAAGCATCCATAAGTGTTGTGTAAGTGAAATGATTTGGAGTTGATCCACAACCCTTCATTTCACTGAATACAAGCTCAGACTCTTCAAGCTTATTTTGGGAGCAAAGGCCCCAAATGATGGTTCCATAAAGTAACAAATCTGGTTTAAAGCCTTTCCCCTTAATTTCTTTCCATATTTCCCTAGCATTCTCCATCCTCTTAGCCTTAATATACCCATGAACAAGGGCAGTACATATTTGCTGGTTAGGACTTATTCCAGTTTCCAGTACCTCCCTGAAGACTTCTTCTGCATCCTCCATCCTCCCATCTTGACATAGCCCATCCAGTAGAGCTGTATACGTTACAATGTTCGAGCTAATCCCTTCCTGAAACATCTCCTTTTTCAGCTTCAGTGCTTCGCTCAAATTGCCAGCCTTGCAATTTGCATCAATCAAAGAAGTATAGGTGAACTCATTAGGTGAAAGGCCAACTCGTTTCATGTCCATAAAAATCTTAACAGCCTCTTGCATCATCCCTTCTTTACAGAAGGCATCAATTAATGTGCTATAAGTTATGACATTTGGCTTCAACCCTTTATTATTCATCTCACGGAGAAAATTCAAAGCCTCGGGCATTTTATCAAATTTACAACAACAATTAATCAAAGAATTGAAGGTTATTACGTCAGGCTCACAACCTGCATCCTTCATTTCTTCAAATATGCAAAACGAATTATCTAATATTCCAACCTTTCCATATCCATCAATAAGAGAATTATATGTGACAATATCAGGTGTAAGGCCCATTCTTTTCATTTGTGCAAACAAGCAACTAGCAGTATCCAAATCGCCTTCTTTGCACATATTATCAATCATTATATTGTAAGTGAAAACCGAAGGAGTAATCCCAGCCCCAAGCATATCCTTAAAAAACTTCCTTGAAAAATTCCCCTTCCCTGGCTTTGAAAGCCTTTGCAAAAGGGTATTACAAGACCGCACTTTTGGCAAAACTCTAAACTTCTTCATCCTCAAGAAACACTCACTTGCTTCCTCAAGCATTCCAAACTCAACCAAAACACTAAACAACGCATCAAACACTCCAAATCCCAGACGACAAACATTCCTTGTTGACCACAACACATCAAATACATCACAACCCGGCAAGACCCGCCTCAACGACACCAGCTCTCTAAGAATCTCATGGGCATCAAAATACATTCTAGCATAAAAGAGTATGTGAACCAAAATACAATAAGATTCAGTAGTGTGGCAAAACCCAATTTGGGTTTTCGACCATCTGAACAATTTCAAAGCCAACTTGGGGTCTCCCCTGAGTTCCACCAAAAACTTGGACACCCAAATAGGCGCCAAAGCCGAACCAAACAAGTTCACAATTCTGGGATCGTCCCAATAGTCGTGTTGAATAATTATTCTCAGGGATTCTGTATTTATATTATCGGGAAACGAATTGGGATTGGATTTGGTGACAAACGGGAATCGAGTAATACAGAGAAAACTGGTGAACCAAACCAAAGGGCAAGCTATAAGAGAACCATGTGATGATGATAATGACAATGACGATACATTGATAAAAAGGCAATTAGATGAGTATTGAGGTATCGAAGAGAGAGGGCTTACTCGATGAGAGGAGGCTCGGCAACCCATTTGGAAAAGATTGCGAAGAAATATCAGCATCTTTGAGAAGATGAAAAAAAAAATTAAGAAGATACCGAGAGCGCCTTTAGTTAGCTCCATTTTCACAGAGTAGGGGCTTCCATGGATATAAAGATG